GTTACATAATGTATTTTCAAACTGAGGTGCTTGAAGGATTACGTTTCAATTACCTGGAAAACCCCACTGACCCAGAAGACAGCACTCCACAGTCATAATGAAAGAATGAGTATCACAAATAATAGATGAGTCATAAATCATCAAATAAATACACCTGGTTCAATCCACCCTTCTTAAAACTGCCAACAGGAATCTTTCTCAAAGGCACAGTCAGCCAAATTGCTACGTCTTGTGCTTAAAAAACTTCTTGTGGCTTCTTAATGCAAACAGGATAAAAAGTATAAAGCCCTTAACAATATTAGCCTCAACTTAAATTTCCATCTTTCTTCTCTTGAACTCCCCATTCGAGACCCCCTATCAGTTTTTTCCTGATTTAAAAAGGGGAGATTATTAACTGCATACCCTGTACTTACGAATCTCATTAACTCACTCTCTGGCAAAAACCCTTAAAGCAACATTTCAAATCCATTCACTTTCTCTTGCTTTAAATATCTTATGCAACAATATAAAATAGTTGATACCCATTCTGGGTAAATAGCTAAAACCTTCCTCCAAGGCAAAGCAACGTGCCAGAGCCTGCACCTTCACCTGACAACCGCTGGCTTGCAAAGGCCCCTGAGGGATGAGGAGGAGGCTCGAGTTCCAGTCTCATCGCTCTACCTGTCACCACTGTCACGTAGCCCACGCAGCCAGAGCTCACCCGGAGCTGCTTTAAGAAGCCAGTGTGGTTTGAGAGGAGGCAGCATCTGTTCTCCAACCACCCCTTCCTGTCCCTGGCTTCCAGCCTGGATTCGGCGATGAGTTAAGACACAGTCTAGATTACCCAGTACTGGTGATCCAGTGAAGGCTAGCTGAATATCCGGAGGAATCAGTGCCTAAATAATGATAGTGTTTTAAAATGGCTAGCTTGGAAGGCAATACCATGTTTATTTTTTAAAGCCAAGAGCTAAGAAAGCAAATAGTCCTTTTAGGTATGGAACAAAGGGACTTATCTGGTCGTTACTACCTCTAGAGAAGCAGTTTCTCAGCGCTCCCACTTGGCAGGACGGTAAACGAGCTGTGCTGCAGGGTCACACGCACCCCTGAAGTAGGGGCTCAGTTCCTGAAACAGCAGCACTTACCCACCTCCTACAAATCAGGCACAGATCTTTGAAGCAGATCAAACCCATCCTGGCAGCACCATTAAATACTTCAGATCTGCACTTAGTCCAAGTTGAATATTAAAGAACAAATTCCAACTTTGGGCACCAACATTCATCAAAGACTCTCCCTACTGCTTGGGATCATATTCTCTTAAAACAGATGAACAAGGAAAAACAAACAAACCTCACCCTCTTGACTCATCTTGTGACTCAGAGATACTTTTTTCTATGTTTTGCCAAGTTGAAATGCAAGTTATTTTTCCACTTTGTGTAAGGATACCTTTGGGAGCACTGTCTTTTTTAGTAGGTGAAAATGCCTACATATTTAATTTAAATAGACAAAGCACTGTAACAGATAATCTTATCAAGTCACATATACATATGTCTCTGAAGTTCAAGATATTAAGAACTCAGATCTCTTAGCCTGAGTTTATAAAATACAGTTATTATTACGTTTACCCAGAAAACACCAAATTAAACTGTTGAGACCTAACCCAGATCAACGCTTCCTGAGTCTACTTGGGAATAAATGTGAAATCTACATGGTTACTCATTTTAACAAGTGATTTCAAGAATCTTCCTAATATCACCACATACAAGAATTAAGAAGTTGCTTTTAGAGAGCTCGTGTTGCTACAGGAAATTGAAGTAAATATTTTCAACTGGACATATTAATACCACAGCATCTAATATTAAGAGATAGAAGGTTGCTTGTTCACTCAGCGTCCTCCCAGATGAAGAACATTAACCATCTCCCTTTATTACAGATGTATTTTTTTCTCATTTAGAAAAAAAGAACACAAGAGATGCCCAACAGAAGGGAAGAGATGCAGGCCCCTGGCTCTCCAGGTACTGTTACGACTGTACACGCACCGAGCTGCTGCTCCACTGTTAGGATTAAAAGGAAAAACAATTTTATATCTAAGCTCTTTTAGGTGAAAGGAAAATGAGCAAAATGGTAGAGAAATAAACTTCCCTCAAATTTTAGCCCATTCCCAGTAACTGTATACTAGTAACAAGCAAGCAGCAAGGCTCTTGCTCCATTGCTCAAATTCTTTTTTTTATTGCTCG